TTCGCTGAAAAAAAATTTTTTTTTACTTAAAGTACTGAAGTGGATCCTATTTTTTTCGGCCATTGCTGATGAAAGGTGACAGATTATGATGATGATGACAATAATAGTAATTATAACTTTCGTCGTTGGCCACCACTTATTAAAGGTATATTTCTTATTTTTTTGTTTTCTTTTTCGTTATCTTCTTCTTTTTTTTTCTCTATTTCTTCTTTTCCTTCTTCTCCTCTTTTCTCTTTTTCTCTTTTTTCTTTTTTCTTTTTTTTATTTTTGTCTTCTTCTAAACACCCTTTTATAAAAAAGCGTTACTCCCAAAAAAAAAGAACGCTTGATCTCCAAATTTAAACTATATCTTTGTGGGTTTCTCTTTTCATCTACGAAAACCATTACAATAATAGCAGCAGCAAACCTTTTTTTCACCGGTAGTTCCAGCATTGTTGCCCCACTAACCTTCTCAGTGAAAACTTTTAATGATTAAAAACGAAAAAAACTCTTTTCATTCTCTTTCTTTCTGCTTTTTGTTCCTACTTTAAAAATCAAATAAATGAATAGAAAAAAATTTCATTGCACAATATTTTTCTGAAAATATCCAATTTTGTTTTCGTTATTTTGAAAAAAAAAAAACGAAATTTTTACGTTTTTCTTCCTCGTCTTTCTTCTTCCTTCTCTTTTTTTCTATGAGTTGTCACCGGTAAAGTGAATATTTTCTTTTTGTTCTTCTTTCAATTCACTTACTTTTTTATATCTTCACTTGTAAAAAAATTCTTCAGCTGAACACAATCGTTTATCTGTCAAATACAAGTTAAGGTGTTTCCAAAAAGAAAAAAACCAAATTTTCTTCTTTGCAACTGTAAAAGTTACCCACTGTGAGCCAAAAAATTGGATCTGGTTTTCTGCAGTCGTCACTCTCTGTTACTGCTCTTATAAAGATTAGCATTATTTTTTAATGTGCAAATGTTTACTAATTTACTACTGTATTATCAAACACTATTACTGTATGCGGCTGATAATGGTTTAAGTATGCTAAACTGTTCTGCAAAACATAATTTTAGCTTTCTTCTGTTGTTGAAAAAGTATAAAAAATTGTTTTTAAATTATAATTTATGAGAATGCTTGACTGTTTTCACTGCTATTAATGTAAAAAAAATTTTTTTTTCTTCTAAGAAAATCAGTTAGAATTTGTTGGGAGTATTTTACATTATACTGTCAAAAATATGACAGACGAACAATTGACAATTTTGTTGACCAAAACTAATTAGCTCTTTCTTATCTTTAATTTACTTTTTGTGCCTTAAACTAAACCAGTTTATATACATATTTGAAGTTTAGACTCGTTAAATTATAAGCATAGTTTTGCAGAGATGTTGTGAAAAAAAAAAAAAAAAAAAAGTTTTTTTCTGCTATCAAAACTTGACAGTGTTACTGAGATCTTTTGTAAAATTCGACATTTTTCGAATAAGTTTTCTAGGAAAGTTTCTGTTTTTACACTTAGTGATGTTTATAAAAAGTATGATGAACTAACACTTTTTTTCATCTAAATTGTAACTTCAGATAAAATTCTATAATTCTTCTAGATTCTTCTTCTAAATATCCTTTCTTTCTTCTTTTTCTTTTGAATGTTATTTGAAGGTAACGGTTTAAGAAAAAAGTAAATTGTTGCTTTTTAAAGTAAATAATTTTGTTATAAAAGTTTATTTTACTTTTTAATTATTGCTGAACTTATAAAGAATTGCTTCTTTGTTGACTTCAGTATTGTACCTCAGCAAAAACATACAGAAGAACCGCTTAGCAGTGAGCTTAGTCAAATACTTTTTTTCTGAGAACCTTAAAAACAGCAATGCTATTAAAGTTTGCAGTAAAAAAAAAAGTTTTACTAGTACCATATTGTTAATGACGAAGTCTATCGACACCTCTAAAAATCTATCCAAACCGCTCATACTGTCAAAACTTCGCTTAAACATATTCAGAATTTTTATTTCAATTTTTTCCTTATATTTTTTGTTACTATCTTTTTACTTTGTTTTTTTTCTTTATTTTTTGTTCTTTCTTTTTCAGAGTTACAAAACGAGTATAATTCGTATAATATTTATGAATGTGATTTGATTCTTGATGAATAGCTGATGAGGGAAAGTCAGATTACACTGTCTTTGAATTGTTTACATTTAATTACAAACTTAAAAAATTTTACTTCTGTTATTTATTTATCTATAAAACTATTCAAATGAATTAGCCTATTGCTTAGTTTTACTTTATAAGCAGTTTTGTTTAAAAAAAAACATTTTAGGTTTTTAATATAATTGTCGGTCAGCAAAATTCTTTCATTTTTCAAAGTTAACTATGCTAAATAACTGTTGGCTAATAAAAAAGCACTGTCAGAATTGCGCAGTTATTTAATCAAAGATTTGCAGTTTGATTTTTATTTTTATTTTATTTTCACTTTTATTTTTACTTATTTATTTGTTTGCTTTTTTTTGCAAAAAATATTGAGCATTTACCAATTAAGTTCGTCAATTATTTATCGATGATCAAAGTGTCCTGTTGGCGTATTTAAAAGTTCTGTTGTATAAAATAATTTAAAAGTTAATATTGTGATTTTTTTAGGTAAAATAAATTGAAAAGACGGTACTAAAAAAAGGATTTTCAGACTGCTTATAATATTCGTAACACTTATTTCATCGCACTTTGGCTTTCATCTTAAGCTATAAATCATCTAAATATGCGATTACGTAGCAAACAGAACTGTCAGTCAAATATGATACTTTTAATTGTAAGTTTTTAGGAACAGTAGCAATTTTTATAGTAAATGATAAAATAATTTTTCTCTACCTTTATACTTGTTTCAAATGTGTGAATAGAAACTACAATTTTTCTACAATAGATTTCAGATTTTTTTTTTTTTTTTGATTTTTAAATTTGGTATAATTTATAAGAAAAACAACTGCTTTTCTAGATGCAATTAATGTTAATAACTGTGCTAACATTTGATTTGGATAATGATATTGTTGGAGAACCGGACATTGAGTGTTTAGACGAACAAATTCGTGTTCATGTTAAAACAAGAAAAAATTTTGCCGGTATGCATCTTTTTGATCAATCACTTTGGCTTCCAAGTCAAGTCTATTATCATCGTTTAGCCAACTTTTTTTTTTATTGTAAACAAACAAATTCAGAAGCGTATAAGTTGCAGCGTTTTGTGATAAGACACACAGAACTGTTGTTGTAAAAAAAAATAGTAAAAAATGAGATTTTTAAAGCAAATTTTATGAAATAAAACATTCAAATAGTTTACAGTTTGTATAATTAAAGTCTGTTTTTTTACTTATGTTACAGAATAACATTTCTTTATCCACCTCTTTTTTTTGTAGGGCGAATATATGCAAAAGGTAAAGCTGATAACCCGGAATGTTCAAAGGATGATTTTGTAAAACAACGAACAAAAAAACCACACATGGACCTAAAATTTGGTCAATGCGGTATGAAAACATTAAGATCGGTATGTCAAATGTTGGATAACTGTGTAAATATATCTCTGTTATATCAAACTGTAAGCGAATATGTGACAGTTTACTTGTCACAATATATTTATGTATTTGTATAATTGACCAATTGTTTTTTTTTTTCTGTTTACAGACAGATCCACGTGGAATGTATTACGGTATCACGTTGGTAGTTTCGTTTCATACGGTAAGCTTATAAGCTTATCATACATCCGGTGACTAAAATAACCGTGCAAAATTTTGCTTCACTATAGTTATATGCTTGAAATTAATTGTTTTAATTTTTGCAGTTACTGTTTCAGATGTTTATAACAAAAGTGGATCAAGCTTTTCACGTTAAATGTTTCTTTGAAGAATCTAGCAAAGGTTTAACTGCTGAATTGGGTGTTAGGTACAACTATTCATCAATTTTTCGTTCTTTTTTTTTACTTCTTCTTAAACCTAAAGATTTGATTTTACATTGATAATGTGAATATGGTTTAGCAACATTGTGAAATTTTCGACAGCATTCAGAGTTTAGTGTAAACCATGATTTTTTTTGATATGTTTAGCATGATTGCAACAACGGAATTTGAAGCACGTCATTCAATATCTGGATGCACTTACAGCATTCATTCGTCCAGTATTGAAGAAATCGATGCTGGACGACCGGCTGGACGAGCAATTCAATTTGCTCGGGTTGGTGATCGTGTTTTGCATCAATGGCACTGCGAAGATCGTTAGTTTTAATATACAGTTTTTATTTTACATCGTCAAATATACAATTATTTCTCTTTAAAATTATACTAACAACTTTATTTTGACAAAGTTTGAGAAGAACTAATATTCTGTACGTTTTAATCGTCTTAACCGCATTTTGCAACTAGAGCTATTTATTGATGTTTTAATATGAGTCAATATTCTCTACATTTCTAACCTCTCCAGATAATTTTAATACCGTATGGCAACTTCCTTATTCTGTTTTTTTCTCTTTTCAAGAGATGTATGGAATTTTAATCAATAACTGTTATGTCACCGATGGCTTTGGTAAACGAGCAGATGTCGTGGATGCAAAAGGGTAAGACCATTATTGTATTGGCTGCTAATATTTAGAATCAATGTCTAAATTAGTGATAGACGAACAAATGTTTTACGAATCAAATATTAGTGATAATTAGGTTAAAAAGTTACCATTTAATTTTAGCTTTTTTTTTTT